GCAAACATTCAGGAAATAGTTTAAATTGTAATATAAGGTCCCAAACATGATAGGGCCATTTTTGTTCTCAGTTAAAAAAACAAACTTTGTGCACGCATAATGCATGTACGGTCTCTAGGGAAAATACTATTTTTTCACTTTCGATCGATCAAAATCGTGTCCCATTTGACACACATTCTAAAGAGAAAACGCGCTGATTTAGATTTAGCGGTCTTCCTATTTATAATTATAATAATTATTATTCTGTTGCTCAAACGGCCCTCCACCAGCTGTACCTTTCAATTTTCTCTTGTGTTGGACTGTGGGACGAGAAACTTTAACCTGAGCATAAAATGCCAGCGAAGCTTAATAAATAAAAATTCGAATGTTTGAGGATACACTGAACTAGACCTCCAGAGGGTCCCTGAACTTCAAAGATGCAAGTCGATATTTGGTACAAAAACGGTCCACACGTTTAACACAACTGTCGCTTCCGTGCACAACGGTACAAGCTAATTTATATACATAACAAAGCCCAATAATTTTTCTTTCACTTCTTTACAATTTTCTGTTGTACCGATGTACACGAAACTAACAGTAAGGGAAAGTTCATTTAATATGACAAGGGGGGGGGGGGATGAAGATATTGAGGGGGGGCTCCGAAAATTTTTAGACACCCGAAGGGGGGCTCTGAAAAAATTGTTGCGCTAGGAGGGGGGGCTCCGAAAATTTGTATACTTCAAAACCAACACATGACATCATCATACAGATCGGATGGTTTTCAACTCAACAATTTAATGACCTGTGCAACTCAGCTATATCACGTGGTTTACAGATATAACAAATGTAGTCTCAGTAATTATTACACTCTTGTTCATCCCAAAAATGCTTTAGAAAATTTCAAAAATTAGAAATGCTCAAACTTTTTATAATAAAACCACATTGATTCAACAAGATTTCAAAATCTGCTAACGGGAACTATAAAAACGATGACTCTGTAACAAGAAATGTTACTGTTTGTTTCTCACTGGATGTCAGATCGAACGTACAAACTTACTACTTCGCAGCTTAAATCTATCAATCAAGTATTGGTAGTTCTCAGTTCTGTGACCCCTTGATGGCAGACTGCCTAGTCTGTTTCACCGCCAGATGATTCGGATAATTGATCTTCAGGTGGCTGATCTTCCGCTTTTGGTGGTACAGCTTATGTATGTGAGAGAAGGATGTCTGGAGAAAGATGGAATGCTGTGCAAACGGTGCGGAAAGGCAGAGTGGGTTGGGCCAAAGTTTTCACGAATTCCTGCACCTTATCCAGATCCTGACAATGCAGGTCACTACCTTCCTCTTTCTAAGACACCAAGAACGATCAATGGAAAGGCTAGAGCCATAGATGATCTTGCCCCTAGGGCAAATATCAGAAAGTTGTTCAAGGATGGATCCATCTCATCAAGCAACTGTGAGAAACTGAGAAGATTTTCTGAAGAATTTTGTGTTGAAGAGAAGCATGTTGTTAGCTATGTTAAGCATTTGGAACAGCTAGCAAACTTTGCTAGTATCAGGGAAAGAGAGAGAAGATTGAATCGAACCATTGAAGAGGGCAAGCAGTACCAGGACTATAACTGGTCTGCTTTAATTGAATCTGGAAAGCTGAGCAAACTGAAAGTAAAAGAGCTGGACAAGTACCTCAAGGAACACCAACTTCCATCTGCTGGCAAGAAACCAGACAAATTGAAAAGGATCACTGCAGATTTCTATCTCAGAAATGACAAGGAGGCCACCTCAGAAGACAAGCCAGCTGACCCTGAGAGTGATTCTCTTTAGGAATCTGACTCGGATGACGACGATGTCTTAGCTGTCATTGGTGATAGTGACACCGATGAAGACTCTCCAGTTGAGCCACTTCAGGCCACGGAAACAGAGACATGTCAATTTTCCAGATCTGGCCAGAGGGTTGGGTCATGGATGAGCCGCTACCATGAAAACTATGTGTGAAGCATCAGAGTAGAGGTAGGCACTCTGCGACAACAAATAATCGAGAACTCAACAGGGATCTCATCACAACTGTATCTCAAGTTTGTCATAGTATAAACCATTGAAGATAATAACGGTAAATATATTTAATACAGTCTAGCGATCTTTTTTCAGGGGAGCAAAGGAATTGAAGGAGGAGGGGGGGGGGGGCTCTGAAATTTTTTCGACTACCAAGGAGGGGGCTCTAAGAAATTGAACCGCTAGCGAGGGGGGCTGCTAAAATTTCAAGCTTCGAGTTTCAATATCTTCATCCCCCCTTGTCATATTAAATGAACTTTCCCTAAGCATAGAAAGTCAAAATTACCCACCTTTTTGGCATGCCTTTCGCACCCATGCCGGCGATTGCAAAGCCAATATCTCCGACAAATAACCACCAGTGGGTTTGTCCGCCGTTTCCAAGGCGCTACATTTTCTAGAGAAAACATTCCACTCAAAACTTTCACCAAAATGTTTTTTGATCTCTTACTATGGTAAGAAAACCACAACGCTA